AGTTTGGCCATACATACGAGAGACCAAACTGACTCTGCCGTGACAAAACTACCATTTATTTGCATTCAGCAGGAACATGCTGATGAACAGCAAAGCCTAACGCTGAGCTCTTAAACCTCATAGGAACCATTAAATATTTACTACAGAGATACTAAGCTGTAACATCAGTTAGACTCTGAGAGCAAAAATGTGTCCCATTGACAGATGGAACGCATCCAACAAAGTGTATCTGAAATTATATACACTGCCAGTGGCAAAGCAACACAGCAGATAAAATCCACTGGTCTGCTCTTTGTTTGCTGGTGCAAAGTATCACTCTGTTAGTCTCATTGCGTTAAGTGGAGGAGAGCAAGGCACACAAAGAACTCACAGTTAACACTAGCCAGGCTAAAATACAGCCTACACACAGCAGGGTTAGTTGTAATGCAGTGTTGGTGAAATAATGAGAGTAGAGCCTGACCAATATAAAATTTTTAAGACTGATACCAGTTTCAATATTTAAGGATTTAAAAATCCAATCCAAATATAACTGCCAGTATTCTTTTTTCTTTCTCTTCTTCCAAAATACACAACGTAGATTTCCCCCAACTTTTCTTATGTGTAGTTATTTAAGAGTCTTGACCAAGATAATATGATATAATGCAGTTTAAAAATAAACTTGCATCTTTGGGATTTCACACTGTAGTGTTACGAACACAAATTAACATCTATTGTATGATTGTTTAAAGAATTTAATGATTAAACAGATTTTTTACCTGAACCATCTGAACATGGAGTGTTAGGGCCGTTACACAGGGGCGTGATGCGAAAAAAACAACACAAAACTGAAATATTCGCAAGCAAAAGTACACGCTTTTTTGTAATTTCATCAAATTGTTTGTGCTGTTTAAAAAGATGGGCAGAATTTCTCTGAGAAGATCCTTTAAAAATGGGAAAACTGTGACAGTTAAACAGAGTGTCTTCAAGTGCAGTAAGACCTCCTTCATTTCTCACAGATCGAGATTACAGTGATACTACTATCCCTTTGGGAAAGTGAATGTAGCATGAGGCACCAGAATGTAACTGCTGCACCATTTAAGGTGGAATGGAGAAATTTGAACCTTCTTTATCTACGTTCTGTTTTCCAAAATGGTGAACAAGAAGCTGACTTCAGCTTCATCATGTAGGCAGAATAAATAAAACGCTGTAGTTTAACCACTCATTGATGTTAGTTGTTTTATCACTGATAAAGATAGCGTAGCTAGCTTTGTGGGTAACCTAATTTGGCAATGTGCAGCGTTATAAGCTACGATATGTGATGTTGCCCGAGAATTTTTAGACGTGACACTGTTCAACTCCATTTCATAAATAAACAAACAATCAAATTTGTCTACAGCTCAGCACAAGCTCAAAAAGAAGGTCTGGATTAATGTTTAAAATGCCTAAATTGTCTCAAATGCAAAATCTACATTACACTGATGACAATAGATAAATTACATCCACAGAAGACATGGCTTTCTCTCTCAAGTTAGCTTAGGTTTTGACTAAGTTCTCTTTGAATACTTTGTCAACGTGCTCGCAATGAACAGAGTCATAATTCATTATAATTCATTATATTGGCCAGGCCCTGCTTTCAGCTTTATCCAGACGTGCTACACATTCTTAACCTCTTAAATTGCTAAGGCCCACAGTGAAATTCCACACTCGCTTAACTATGTTAGAGTAGATTCATAGTAGTTACTGAATAATTTGTTGCACTTACTAAATAATAAGTCTTAAGATTAATAATTGAATAAGAAGTGTGCAGTAAGGGACTGTATCACGGAGCAAGTAGAAGAAGCAGTGGAAAAAAACCCTATCGGATGTGGCTTAATTTCACACATGCTACTCCTACACAGCTGCTGACGTGGCTTTATTTAACATCGACCACAGAAATGATGTGATAATGAGGTCTTAACCACTCATTTTAATGTGTTGGGATGATAGGTGTTTTTCTGAGTGTGCTTGTAATCCATTGGACACTCAGTTCTGGAGTGTGCTGTAAATTCAACACTGGTAGGATGCATTTACTTTGTCCCTCATTTGGCTAATAGTGTGCTAAGTATGTAAGCGCATGGGCTTTATCTGGATATGTAGCTGCTGTAGCTCATCTGATTGAGCAAGGCCAAGGTCACAAGATCCTTTCCCAGGGAGCCTGCATAGTGATTTAAAAACAGTACTAGGGCGTTAGGCCTGTGTGATATGGCACAAATATAACATCACAATACTTCAAAGCTTTTTTACAATACTCAATATGCATCACAATATTTTTTTTTTCTGAGGTTTGATAAGTTGTAACAGACTTTTGAAATACTCAAAACGATCAAAAACTATGAATACAGCAAACTCCCAAGGGACAATTAATTATGCTACACTTGAGATAAGCTTTACTTAAGCCTAAACATATGGGACTGGTTTCCTGGAATAGTCTCAGACTAAAGTGCCAATGTTGAATCGCCATTAGAAATTCTTTTAGTGTAGGCTTAGCCTTTATCTGGGTCTGGGAAACCAGCCCATAAACAGTTTAAAATAATGTCACTGTATTAGTGCTCCTTCCTTCAGTGCTTATATTATAGTGACAAGAACAATATGAATTTTACTAGTTCGCACCATGCCTCAAATATAGGGTCGTAGTAAGAGAAGAGACTGTAAACAGGGAGAGAGCCCTGGAGTTGGAGTTCTGGGTGGCTTCTGCTTTAAGTTAGAAGGTTGAATCTCCCCATTTGATGAACAGAGGTAGGAGAAAGAATGGAGGGACAAGGAGGACATGGGGTGTATGTGTGTGAAAACTTGAAATTTATAGGATGTTAGATTGGAAGGAGGAGGAGCATTATTATCATCATTATTATCATTATTATTATTATTATCACTATAATTAGGACTGTACTTTCTATGGGACTTCTAATATTACACACAGTCATTAGTTATTAACAGTTGATAACTAATGGTAATCAGTCAGTCAGACAGTTTAACTAAAGTGACTGGAGTCTAAGAAGTTTAGTTAATTGTCCACTAATGTTACTTTTTTAGCTCTTTAAAATCAGCATCAGTCACTAAATGTTTATATCGGTCTGGCCCTAGATATTCTAAAAGTGTATCTTATAAACATATATCTTACGAAGTGATCATGCAAATGTAAATTTGTCTCTTTCATGGCAGAAGCCTGAGGAGGAGGACTGTGAGAGAAGAGCAAAGACAGGAGGCGGAGCTAAAGCTGCAGCAGAAGGTGTGAAGACTGGCACTGAGCTGCGAGGGACTGACACTAGCAATGTTTCCTTTTCTAGGAGAGGCCTCCAAAGCTGTGTGAGGCAGTCCGACAGACTGGACCAACATGAGGGACACTGACAAAACCCACTGGCCTCAGAAGATCAAACCCAACCAACACCCCACCCCCCAAACCTGAATAGAAAAACACTAACAATGACTGTAAGCTTGAACATGAGATGGAAGAGGGTTACACGAAGAGAAAGAGAGCGCGTCAGTCCAGGCTGTGTCCTGACGGCCAGATTTCATCAGTGCTAATCCTTCTCCAATCCCCAACAGCCCCTAATCAGCCACAGGAGATGGAGCCCTGGGCCTCTGGGCCAATCTGTGTGTGTCTGTACGTGTATATGTGGTCAGTCTGGGATGTGGGAACTTAGGAGCTCTGTGTTTAGCTGTCCTACTTTTGTCTTTGGCACGCCATTGTTTGGTTGCCCAGAATGGGAGTAATCTAAACATTCCTGAAGACCACGTTGCTTAAAAAGCTCCGAAATAGACGCACATAAACATCCACAAAAACTCACATCCCATCGTAGCCATCTCATGCATGAACCCCAAGAGGTTGTGCAATGCACAACAGTGCTTGCCAAGGTGGCTTCTGAAAAGGAAAGTGGAAGACATGAAGAGGCAGTGTTCCCTTCTGTCTCCAGACTGGTGTGGGATTGTGTAATAATCCAGGACAGTGCCTCCATCATCACAAACTGTGCAGAAGGTCTGATGGGGTGGGTCTGCAAATGCAGCCAGCAGCCCCTAGAGTGCATGTGACACTCACTGTGTAATGGTCAAACATTTGAATGTGCAAATGGACAGTATCTAGACCAGGGGTCTTCAATTCAGTTCCTGGAGGTCCAGAGTCCAGCGCAGTTTGGTTTCCTTTATCTAACTGACATATTAAACGTAGTAACTGACTGATGAGTGGAATGGGGGGGGGGTATTTCACAAAGCAGGATTTTTCAGGGAGCCAGAAAACTTCCAGTGTTCAACGATTGTGAAATAGGAATGTCTCTCAGCTCTTTGTGTATTGGACAGGCTTGACTCTAGGCTTAAGTTATTTTGCTAAACTGAGTAATCTAGCAGCTCATCTCACACATTAAGTTTATACAGGGTTCTGATTAATCCTCAGGCATGTGCACATGGAAGTGTTTACAATGAACAGCCAATCACTGAAAACAGTTGCTCAAAGAAGGAATGAGAAATCACACTACCTAAATATATATAGGAAATAAAGCATTTTTAATGGTCAAAATTCAACAGTGTCACCACCCCAATCGTACTAGTGCTTTCTGGATTGAAAATGGCTAAAAATTATATTCTTGATATTTATGTTTTCTCCACTGAAAAGCAATAATTTTAACATGACTGATGGAGAAAAAAAGTGACATGAAAAGGACCACAGAAGACTGTCCCTGATCGGTCAGATGCTCATCCAGAGCGATCCAAGAGCTGTTTATGATCTGCAATCCCAAACTTAACCTGCCCTAGAACTGCTTCATGAGATAGACCCGTGCCTTGTGAAATACCCCGCAGGTGAGCAGGGGGAGGGGAAGAGATTTGATATGTAGAGCAATGTGATGTTGAACTCTGTTTGACATTGAAGAATGTTGACTATCATTTTCTTTTGACAAGCCATGTTCATCATTTGTCTTTTAGGGAACTAACAACTGAACGCAACCTCTGTGAATGATCCTGATATTTATGGGGACAGGTTGTAAATAAAATAGTTTTGTAGTAAACACGGTCACTGTTTTTATTTGATAACATAAAATAAAGCAGATCCCTCATTTGTAGAATATTGCTACTGTAAACCAGTTCAAGACATAGAATATATATTTTGTAAATGCACAATTATACTACAATGCATACCACAGTTTTGTCACATATTGTCAGACAGGCTGAGTGCATTTTTAATTCTAGAATATTAATAAGGGATGCTGTCAGAGCAATACAGGACATCTTGGTATATAGGTATTTCACACAGTCAAAATGGCATCCTGCTTTTACATGCAGAACATAGCAGGTAGGAGATGATGGCTACGGGAGAGCATAAGCATAACCTAGACATATGTACAAATTCATCATACTGTGGTTAAGAAAACCAGCTGTAACACGCAAGAGTCTGTTTAGAGCAGGTGTGAAATCACACAGCCCCAAAAGCAGCTGAATATAGTCCCAGAAAGTCTGTTTAGCCACAGTTGGGTACAGATCAACATTACAACATTTTCTTCAGACTGGGACTGACTCATTCCACCTCAGGAAGTTTACTAGCTGAATCACTGATAACAAAGTGCAATTATCCATGCCCACCCTTCCAACCCCACTCTAGTGTTTCATTGCTGAGACAGGATTAGGATTCTAATATGTGATGCTAGACCTGTTGATATTTTTTAACTATATTTGCCAGCCACTGTGGTCAAACAGCAACTTAAAAATGCTTGTCAGCAGTTCACACAACTAACACATGGTGGTTTTCACAGTTTGCTCTCAGGTCTGTGATAGTCTTGTGATAAAGTAAGGCCAGCCAAAGGTTAGAGACTTTTAAGTTCTTTTTTTTTGCTGAAGCAAGTGTTAAATTAAAACAAGTATGGGATTAAAAAAAATAATGATTTTGAGGGGACCCGAAACAAATGTAAGTCAAATCAGTATCCAGTCAAAATAGCCTTAAGCATAAGCAATATAAGCTTATACTAAGGATAAACCGAAGGTAAATGCCGTTTGGTGCTTCTAGCATTGAAGTGAAAGTTGCACTGTTTCAAATGTTCTTTGAAGCAATTGGTTAATGTGTTTAGATTAGTCATCAAACTGAGCATGTCTCTACAATTGACTGTAATCTTGCCTTCAAAGCCTGTTATACCAGATACTGCCAGAACAATACACAGAATGGTGGGAGTCTTTGTAGGTGTAAAGGTGGTGTACAGAGTGGGCTGAGGCTTTGACAAACTACACTGCCACCCACAAACCATTTAGTCACATTTGTAAGCTTCACATTTCTGCTGAACAAATGCAGCATTTAGTCACTTTTCTTTTTTTTCTTATGAGGCCTTCTTATTGTGCTACTCGCATGTAATGCAAATTGTCCCAATAAGAATTCCTTACATTCCAAACAAGAACAATCTAAATCATTCAGTTCCAACTTCTGCATTGGCATGAGTCCAGTTCCAGCTGTTTGTGGTGTTTTCGCAGCTATGATAAGCAGCAACTGGGTTTACGCAGCTTGAATGCCCCAGCTCCACTGCCTCTAAAGTGCTCAGCTTGCCCTCTCTTGCTCTGCACAGCTGTGTAGATCCATCCCAGATGGCCAGCTCTACTGAGAAGGACAATGCAGTCACAGGCTATGTTGCACTGATCATATTTACAATGGCTGGTTGAAGAGAACTGCACACAGCAATGCATTGTGAAAACCTTCGAGTCATCGCACTGGAGCAATGAGACAGGGGTGCCGTCTTTGGGAAAGTAATGTGAGGCAGCACTTGGATGATGGCCAATAAGCTAAAGTCACAGCGTGCCACAAAACACAAACACAGCTGTGAGCTTCAGTCACATTTAAATGACTGCAACCACAACCTACTGAGAGTGCTGGGTGACTAACCATCAGACGTCACCTTTAGGTTATGGAAACAATATGATACAGGACATCCATTGCAATTCAACCACCTTTTTCAGAATACGGAAGCAAAGTATGTAAAGCAGGGCAGGACACTGGTTTTCAAACAAAGTGACTGTACCTGCAGATTTGTACAAAGGAAGTGGGGAGGGCAGTCTGTCTATAAGAGCTCACGACACTGCCAGCTGGAGGCACGTACATGAATAATAAAGAATATGGATGCAAATGATGCATCATGGTTACACTGTGGGCTTTGGAGAGGAGCTTATGCTGAGTAAATACTGTCACTGATGGAATGGCTTTGCTTCAAGTAAGTATGTGATGGTGTGAGAGAATGAAAAAGATACATTTGTTTGTCAGGCAGATCTCCTGTCTGTACTCAGCGTTCAGGTTTCAAACAGCATTGCCATTTGGTGTGGATGATGATTGACACACTAATAAAACCACAGCAGCTGTTGTTCCAACATCTGAAACCAACCTAACCATCACATACCCACATAACCGCTCCAAGAATGCTGCTTTCCACAAAGAGCTTTCCTATTCTCTCAACACAAATAAAGAGAAACAGTGGAACAAAATATCACAGTATATATTTATGGCCAGTCCGTGAGCCTGGGGGTCACCAGATGTGGTCCAGACCTCTACGGCACCTCTAGTAAATGTCCAGTAAACAAATGAGGATGGAAAAAGCCCTATTTTCTCCATCCACCTCTCAAACCCTCCATCTCTCCATCTTTGTCTTCCTTCATCTAAGGTTTCCCACCCCTTGCGTTAATGTCTTTGGAAGGGGGTTCAGTAAGATGAAGTGAAACGTCAGTGGGGTGGAGGGTGCGGTCAGAGAGCAGCCAGGGTGGAGGGGCGGCGGGAGCGGGCAGTAGTGGTTATTTGTACTCAGGCGTGGTCTTCTATGGGGAAAACCAGCCTCGTTCCCCGGCTCAGAAGCTCCTGCTCTCTTGTGTCCAGCTCTCGCTCCAGTGCCTCCTCGGACGTGCTGCCGTTGCGTTTGCTGTTGAGGCCCTTGGGGCCCGAGCTGGAAGAGGCTCCATTGGCTGTGATGGCCGTGTCGCCGTAGGTCAGTGTCAGGTCACCATCCGTCAGGATGAGGTCCGAATCAGCATCTCTCAGCTGCTCGCTGTTCTGTAGAGCACAGCGACAAGTCGGACATGAGGGGACAGGGGTGGGGTGCTGAGGGCACATGGACACACACATACTGACATGCTGTTAATCCTGTGGATCTCCAGCTTAGTCTTGAAAGACATCTGTCCTGCATATTTTGATGACATCCCTGCCCTAGCTCAATGAATCCAATCAATCAGTCCGTTTACAAGCCCTTCCGAAGTTGAAATGGATACGTTAGAGCAGGGTAAACAATAAAATGTGCAGGACAGGGCTGCTTCAAGACCAGGGTCAGAAACCACACAGGAAGACACACTCGCTTGCAAACTCAGAACAAAGGTTCATGAGGGACACTGGAGACACACAAGAACAGAGTAAAGAGTGGAACTAGACTTAGATTGTCTTAATACAAAAAAAACCACACACACCTCCACACCCACACCCACACACACACACACACACACACCTTTGTGCGTAAAAAAAAAAAAACTAAACTACCTGTGTATCTCTGAGTGAAAGGGAAAGTCCCTATTGTCTACAAATGTCTTTCATGCCAGGGCTACAGACAGCCATTCTAACAGCAGATTAACCCTTGGTTTAGCGTTATTTTTGTTGTTTTGTTGTACTATTGCAATGTAATTGCAGTATTACATAATTAATCACACAGGTAGTTACAAATTATATTTACAGTACTGTGTAAAAGTCAGTGACCATCCTTCATTTATAACTTTTCACTTAAAAGAGTCAATAAGTTCAAGTTATTTATTTTTCATGGGATATTTCTAAGGAGATTGTATATAATAAATCAGATTAAAAAAACTAAAAAGTTGAACGATTACTAAAATATAGAGAGACCTGGTAAACCATCAAAACAGCCACCATCAGAGTACTTCAACCTTTCATATTTGAGAAATAAGAGAAAATTACGTTCCACTCTGCTTTCAGATCTAAAAAAAAAAACACAGGTGGTTCTGTCTATCCTTCCCTTGTGAGAAGACAAAGCAACTATATGGGTATGAAAAGATGTTGATAGCTGTCAAGATAGCTGTCAAGAAGTCATTACTAAGAAAACAAAATCATCAAAAAAGAACATTTGTAAAACAAAGAAGCTGCCTATGTTCTCAGAACAATAGACTGACTACCACAAAGCCCAGACCTCCAGAATATTACATGTGTTACAAGTGCAACCAACTTTTAAGATTAAACTTTGGAGTGTGGAAAAAGATCCCTGTAGATTTCTGAAAAGAATAAAAGCTGTGATAAAGGCAAAGGACACACTAAGTACTGTTTTTATACATGATGCTGATAAAGGAATAATCTGTACTCAATGGCCACTATGACTGGAAATTAGATAAATGACAAGGCGGTCTCTGATTTTTGCAAAGTACTGTGCATTTGATAGACATTTTGTATGAACAGGTTCAGTCTGCAATTGTGCCTTTTTTCTGTTTTGCAAAATAAGACTGTATTGAAGACTGTATAACGAACAAAACTGTATAACTAATAAAAATATGGTGTTGAAAGTTTAGAAGTTGCATTTCTGACAGAATTTCTCCATTTTTGTTCAATTACTACAAATGAAAAATAATACATTATGCTGAAAAATAATACAACATGCTTGTGGTACCACAAGCAATAACAGTGACTTCTAGGGATTAAGCTGGACATTTATGGAGCACTGCTGCTATCGTAGATCTGATCTGTCCCAGGCTCTGGTTAGCCATTTTGACAGGTCAAATGCTGGAGGGATAAAAGTACAGCATGTCACTGAAAGGATTACTGCATGTAAAGAGGGATGAAACAAACTAAAGCTTATTACATAACATCTAGTATAAAATGCAGATTCTCTTAAAATCTTTAGAGCAATTCAGATAATTAATGAACCATGCTACTTGAAAGAACAAGAAGAGCTTATGGTTGGATAAAACAACTAAAGACATGCAGTAAATTGAAGAACAGAAGGATATTTGGAATGAACAGTTGGGGGTGTAACAGTGCGTTGTAACACTGTGATACAGCAATGCAAAAACATGACATTGTGCACTGTGTACATGTGAAAATGGAAAATTATTCATTCTACTGATTATGATATGTAATGTAACTACATTGTTTGAACACAGATGTTTACAAACAATCAGCAAATTGTGTCTTTAAGTGAATTGTGCAACAACACGATTATAGTAATTTTTTTTCTCCGTTCTAATCTCGTTCAAAATTTTGTGAGAATATTCAACTGTGAAGACAGTATTGACAATCCAATCAAGCTGTGGGCTGAATTGACTTTTACAGCCCTAATGAGCAGCAACCCTCATGTGTTCACTGTCAACACTCATGCAATGAGCTCTCTAGGCAAAACAATGCATCAGACTGAAAAGTAGCTGCAGCTGACCCTTCACAGACACTGTATCAGGGCCAAGAACCTGTACAGTATAATGACCAAATAAGGAGCATGTCTCACTTAAGCTATTAGGGAAGGAACAAAGAAAGGGGGTTGGAGGAATCAACACAGGAGGATGGAGGATAGAGCTATGATTTAAAGCAATATTTTAATTAAAATCGAACGTACACAGTAACAGGGAACACATTTAAATATGGCATTTCAGTTAAACTAGTTATTTGTGTTTAACAAATAAAAAAAAATAAAACATACATTAGAAATTGCGCCATACCATACACACAGGCCACATTTTATGGTTTGTTTTTTACCAAATGTTATTTGACCAAACTTTTGCACACGCCTGTAGCTGGTCAGCCAAGACATATTTAGTGTCTGAACATTGCCGCTTTAGTTTCACAGCTCTGAGGCCAATGTAACTAGGAAGTAATGCACGCTCATACTCCACTAAATGGTACTGTGCAAATTGCATACTTCAAAATTGCTGCTACTACTATTTAGTACTTTAATTTTTTTGTTTGTTTTTTTTAAACAACCAGTTTAAACAGTATGTCACAACATATGAAACAACATAAACAAGTCTATTCGAGATTACTTGACAACTTGATGTGGTTTGAGGTCACTGGGTGATTTTGACATGCAGATTTCCTCTTCTGCTCAAATCAGCTTCTGCTCAAACTCTCCTGCTCAAATCAGATATGCTAAAAAACTGGATTCGAGCTGTCTGCCTGAACAAAGCCGTATGCATGCAATTGGTAGGATATAAGCTTCCATTATTTGAATTTGTTAGCTACATTAGCCTTGTAGGTTCAGCACAAAACTAAAGAAGCTATCTTCAGATGTCTTGGCTGGTCTACTGCATATGGGGTAAGTGAAAAATTCTGTAATTTTTTTTTTCCGTTTGTTGTCGCTTACTTTCCCCTGAAAGCGATCGTTCAAAAAAAATGACGTAAATAAATTAGAGACGCAGCAAAAAGTGCTTGATTCAGCGAATGCTGACAAGATATTAACAAGAAGAACACAATGATCCTGCAGAAACTACAGGTTTCTAATGTCTGGGAAGCTGTGAGGGTGAAGATGTTACATGTCACATTTTGAGTAGTGACAATCATTTTTCTTTGCTTTTATTCACTCAGAGCTCTGTCCTCTCTAACAATAGAGGAGGATGGGGGCAAGAGGGCTGGGGGGATGTGGCCCAGTAGGACATTTGGCTCATTGTGCCAAAGCAGCACAATGGAGGACTGTGAGACATTTGTGAAATCAGCCAAGCATCCCCAGCTACAGTATCAGCATTGAGATGAATAGGGGAATTTGCCAGAGTGAATCAGACTGTGACCGCACAGTGAATGGCAGTGTTCTCCGTGTTTGAGATATTGGAACGGAATGGCTCGCAGGCCCACGCTCATCAGAGTGCTATTACTGAAAGCCTCTTTTGTAAAAAAACGAATACAGAGCGCGTCTTCCTTCAGTTTAAAAGCTCTGGCGCTTTTGTGCCCTCTCTCCCCCTTTTCAAACATAGTTTCATAGTGCCACAATAATGTCAGCAGTCAAGCTATAGAGGCTGAAGCCTTAGAATGAGGAGCTCACGAAGAGCCACTTCCTTCAGAACAGAGAGCCGAGAGTGCAGTGTGAGGACACTGGAGGAATTTGAATAATTTCTGAAAAAGCTTTAATCTTAGTATTCCAGCCAGTTATTCAGCATTTACTCCACTTTCTCAGTGTTAAATGCATGGTGCATTTTTCCCCTCCATACTGGTACCAGTACCTTGAAATGAGTACCAACATAAAAACAAATACATTTTCCTAAAAAATCTTTAGAATAAGCTTCTTATCATGTCCTATTAAAGAGAAGGCATCATCCACATTTTAGGTCTTTGTGTTCCTGAAAACACAGGCCTATTGTTGTGCCTGTCCAACTGACTGAACTATGCTAAGCCCACAAATGAGTTCTTCCGTAGCAAATGCCGTGAAGTTGGTCAAGCTTTACAGAAAATTGGCAGAAGTTCCATTTTGCCTAATAAAACATTGTAGCATACAACTATACAAGTGCACTGTTCATATCAAATTACATTTACTGCATGTGAAAGTTACACTATTAGAATAGATCATGAGTAGATTTTTGTCACATAGCTGAGATAACATTAGTATGATGGCAAATTTGTTGTTTCCAACTTGAGCAATTAGCTACATCAGCACAGTCTAACGCAAAAGCATAGCATTTTAAACTGGACTTTAGACTAATAACTCAGAGAATCTAAACTCTAACCTAAATTCATTTGGTTAAATAGGATTTCAGGCAAAATCCTGTATAGCTTGTCCAACCTAGCAACAGCTCGAATGAAAGAACGCATTCATGGGTTGAACATGGATAGATCAATTAGACTGTTAAAGCCACCAAACACAGGATGTGCCACATCATGTCGCGCAACATCCAAAAATCCAAAATCATGGTTTTTAATTAAGGTACACACGCCAACATTCCGTGCCAGTAAGTGCTGGCGTTTAGTGACTCAAAGCACTGTTTAATTTCTCAGCATGTCTCAGCACACCCCTCAGCATTTCGCCATTACTACAATAAATAAAGTCATATCAACAAAACAGAAAGCCATAGTAAAGCACATGTAGCTTGAAATTTACACCAACAAAGGCGGTCAGTCTTTTAGCTCAACAGACAAATGGTCTGTTACCTCAGCTAACACTACTAACCTAGTCCTTTTTTCACTTCTGTCTTTCAGCTTGGAGACACAAGTTTGAGAAGAGGTAGCAAACTGATGGCTTTTAACTTCACGTTTATTGGCGCTCTCACTGCAATGCATTCTATGTAGTATTGCAGCGCTTTGTTCTGTATCTGGTATGCGATGCTACGTGATGTTGCTCAATACCACAATAAGCTGTGCAGTGCCTTTAGATCTGTCTAACAACTGCCTGGTAGGCTTATCAATTTCATATAGGATAAACAATTTTTCTTTTAAGTTTTAAAAAGTTTTAAAAATCTTTTGTGCTGGAAAACTCAGTTCTACATTTTCAAAGACTTTTTTTCATTAATGGGCTCCTTCGGACAATAGTGAGTAGGCTAATTTCAAACCAAGATTAGTTAGCTGGCACTAAGTCAATGCTATGTTGGTGGGAGCCAATGTAGGCCTATACAAACAAAGCAGACTGAGTTCTTGTATGGATATGGACAGGATAGTAGCCCTGGGAGACAAAAAAGAACCTTTCTAATACAGTCAGAAACTCTGTAGCTTCACTCATCGATTTTAATTCTGTGTGTCATAATAAGCTGCATTACAGTTTGGATTGAGAACAGGCTTGCGTGTTACCAGTACAAAGCATCTGGTATAGCAATCATCTAGCTTTGAAAACTAAAACTAGTCAGCAGGCCATGTTCGTGCTTCTCTCTTTTCGCTGCTCTGTGAGTCACATAAGGAACCAATCGCATGCCACGTTACATGAAATTTGTTGGAGTTCGGCTACATATGTACCCACAATTATTGCACAAATTCACCATAATATTTGGGGAAAGAGTACAAAAAAGTCTGAAATTTTGTCTAGCCCCTTTACAGACAATGAAAATGTTTTGCCACTTGTAACACACACCAACCTTCAGCTTGTTTAATCAAAACAAAACACACACAAAAAAACCTCCCACATGAAGTTTCTTCAACTTCTGCCTTCAGAAGTTCCACTTCCACAGTAGTGGAAAATGCAAGGCACACTGATTTTAACAACCTGTTTCAGCCACTGGTGTTAGGCAGTCACATGCTATGAAGTATAACATGACTGAATTTTCCTGAAGTTCTAAAACTGACCAAAAATAGTTTAACTCTTTCCCTTCCACCAAGAGTCACACAAATACAGTAGTGTATGTGTTTCAGTACTCTTACTACATGCAGTGCACATGTACTAAATAAATATTTGTAAACTGTTTATTTACACTGTGTGTGTGTTTCTTACCTCGTAGGCCTGAGGGCTGGTGAGGCAGTGGGCCAGGGGGCCACAGCAGGCTGGTAAGGTGGTGGTGAGTGGAGGACCACTGTGGGTCAGGATGGGCTTCAGGTAACTGTGCTTAGGGTTCAGGAGAACAGAAGGGGATTGATGGGACAGTAAGTATACTCTGACAACAGTGGTTCTCAACCCTGGCCTGCACATTTTAATGCTGTCCTTGCTCCCCACACACCTCATTTAGGCATGTACCAATACAAAAAATAATATCACAAATATCAAACCATTTGTCACTGTCAGTGTATAATATTATCATGTTATTGTAATAAGAAAAAAAAAATACTACATACAGTGGTATGCACCTCCAGTCAAATGATATATTTATTGATTTTCTAAGTGAAAATAAGTTAACACACCCTCATTAATTGTATGGAACAAACTTACTACTCTGCAAATTGTATTGGACAGTTTCTATTTATTTGCTGAGTTTAATATACTGAAAAAATAATACTTTACCCACATATTTTTTTCCCCACTGTGCTTGAATTAAACAAATAGTCAGTAATTGTGCTTCAAAATATGCAGAAGTGTTTTCTGTTGATGTGTATTTTTCACTTTAAAAAAAGTACCAAAAACAGCCACAAGTCATTTTTACAAGACCACTTTCCAGTCCCTCTTTACCCACTGCAATTAAATAGGCTGTTTTTGTTTCTGTAACTTTAAGACTGATATGTAAACGAGCCCTGTTTTGATTGGCTGTTCTGTACACTGGTTATAACTTCAGTATGAATAGACAGGGCTAAACTGCTGTGGGCTGAATAGGCAGATGCATGTAAATTTTTTGTTTTTGTGACGTCAAAATCTTCTCTAGCTAATACATAAATTGTGTATGGACGTACAGCACTGTGACTTTACTGCAAGCTGTGAAGGTGCTAAGACTAATAAACAGCTTTATAAACATCAAATAAAGACTAGTGCTACTCTGCATATTTTATTAGCTCATATTCACATCCTCAGATAAAAATGGCTGCTCAATGTTTTTCTCTGAGCAGAACTGCATAACAGGCATGACTTAAATATATATTTTTTTTAATTTGGCAGGGAATAAATTCATTACTTTTAATTGCTTTTTTCCTGGATTGTTTTTGTCATGAGACAGACAGTCCTGAAATCTCCACTTACCAGCAGACTTGTATGAATCTCAAATGAACACTCCACATAACGTCTGCCTTCTCCAGTTCACTTCCAACAGTCCTTAATATGATTATAATGCTAAAGGCCTTTCATTAAACCCAGAGCCTCCCTGTCCTCCAACACAAATACATGTCAGCAACACAATCAGAGGCTTAAGCCCGCTTAATGTAGTGGCTGCTTACTAAGGCTATCACGGTTATTAAAAGTGCACAAGCTGATCTCCTGGCCTGTGCTTGCCTCAGCACAGCACAGCACAGCTGTTGTACTGCTCTGCTAAAGCCATTCAAATGCACTCTTTGCTTAAATAAAGCCATCTCTTGTTTTTATTGCTGGAAGGACTGACACTGATAATGTACCTACAATCCAATTAAAACACTGAGCACTGCAGACAATGGGCCTCATACACCAACATCAATCTAAAGTTTTTTTTTTCCCTTAAATTTATTCTTGAGAAAAGTCTTAAGAAAATGTCTACATCAGATTCTTGATGTGTTCATAACCACAGAACTGTTTGTGCCTTTGTGCTCTTGAGTGTGTAGATTCTGTTCTTACCTAAGAACAAATCCCAAATAAGAAAACACTGGTGAATGTCAGAATCTTCATAAAAACTGTGTAAGTGGGTTTCAAGAAGAAATTTCTTCTTAATTTTTTTCTTAATCTGAATGAGGCCCAAACGTTTTAGATATGAAAATTTCAACCCCAATAAATAACTCTTGTTGAAACACTAGGGTCCACTGGCAATTCAATATTAATAAAAAAATATAGTGAATTACAGATGATCTGTACAGTGATTTAGTCACAAATGTTTACATGTATTAAATGCTTAGATTTAGCAGGATCCATGTGCGTCACAGATCCAAAAACAGTAGTGCTTAAAACATATGCTTCAACAAATGTGTCGAGACAAAGTCTTGTGCCAGAACAGAACTCTCATTTAAGATAAGCATCACTTCACATGATAACATCACTCAGCATGAATTCAGTGCAACAGCCACACTAGCACCACCACTGAAAAAAACCACAACCTAAGCATGTTTTGCGGCTGTGCTTTTCAAATAAAAGGTGGGCCTTGCTGCAGTAGAGAGTGTTACCAAAGGGGGCGTACAGAGTGTCTAATGAAGGTGCTCTATGGTTTAGGTTTCAAAAAGTACAAATAATGAATTTCCAGGACATTTTAAACAGTACTGTGCAAAAGTCAGGCACCATTCTTCATTTATGTAATTTCTAGTCAAACTAGTAACAAGAAGTACAAGTTAGTCATTGTTCAGTGCAGGGAAAAAACAGAAATCAAAAGCTTACAATAATATAAATTTTTCAGTATTTAAATGTTTTGACCCTTTGTCTTTATTACACTTTCCATTTTTTTCTGGAGACTTGCTGTCAGTTTTTTAAAGAAATCCGCAGGATATTTTCCACAACTCCAAAGTTCAGTCTTACAAATTGGTTTACATTTTCTGCTTCTCACAATCCCTACTACAAATTAAAACTCAACAATCTATAAAACCTTCACAAGTCAGATGTTGGTGTTATAGCACAAATCTTCTTCTTTGTCTATTTCCTTTTCTTAGTAATGGCTTCTTGACAGCTACACATCCTTTCACACCTAATGCATCGAGTCGTCTTCTCAAAGTGAAAGAACAGACAAACGCCTATAGATTTCTCAGATCTGAAGCGAGAGTGCAGTTTGATTTTCTCCTCTCTCAAAGACAAAAGCTTCAAATACCGTTTATCTGATGGTTTTGGTGGTCTACCAGTTCTTATACAGATGTTAGGAGAGCCATTTTCTCTATGATTTTTTTTTTTAACTCCAGTTTTGGAAACTCCTGTTTCATGATTTTTCTTTGGCTTTGCCCTTCTTAATGTCCTCAGGTATAAACACTGAAAGTGAACTTATATTTCATGGTTGTTTTGATTGGAAATGAAGTGAAAGATGGTCTGACTTTTGCACAGTACTGTAGAAATGAAAAAGCCCCTTTTTGTCTCATGACTAAGAAAAACATTTAAACCTACTGGATCATGGACAAAATGTTACACAGGCTTTTTAACAGTTTGCCGACGCCAATGACACAAAGATGTTTGATTGCTAAGAACAGTATGATGGAAATTTTTTTTCTAGGTCTTGCTTAAGTTGAGATCAGATAAACACGGACTACGTTCAGATGGTTATCAGATTCGGACCGAGTATCACATGGCTTGTTTTCTTTCACATGTAATGTTTGTGTAATTGGGTTTAGCCCACAGTCATACACCCATGCAGCTTGTTTTGTTTTTCCCTTCAAATGAGGACGTGCCTACACCCTGGCAGATCCAATCAGGTAAACGAGAAGCACAGAGGATTACAGCATGATGTCTCAAAACAGCTGCGCCGCTGAAGGTTTGGTACTGAACAGACCATATGATGATACACAGCTTATTTCTGTTTGTGTTATGAAACTTCAGCTGTTTGAATAGGGTTACAGTGCAGTGTTCACACAGAGCTGGTGAAGCGGGGGGGGTCTCCTGCTGACACTAAAAAACATCTCTGCTGGAGTTCTGGCACCAAGGTCTAACACAGAAAGAGAGAAAACAGCATGCTGCTCTGCCAATCCAATACTGTAACCTTTAGCAACATACAAAAAATAAACACATCCAAATACCTGCTCTCACACCAAGATAAAACAACTAAAATAATAAGCACATAAAAGTTCATGCCCTAAAGCAAACAAGCTCATACATGAAAAAGCATGTGTTACTATGACAAAGTCCCAAGGTACTACAAACACACACACACAAAGCTGGTCTATGGCAAGGCCCTGTGACTCAACTGGGGAACTTGTTGTTCCATCTGTGCAGGAAGTGAGTAAAGGGTTAATGTGCATGCATATGTGCAGAACACTTACTCGCTGTCATTTTTTGCATCTGCATCTTAACTGTAGCCCATCTCCCCTCACCTGCTGCTGTTCTCTTCTGTAACGCACTGCTCCATTTTTTTTGCACTTTAAACTTTCAAAAGCATAAATCACTTCGCTGCCAAGCGCTCCTGCGGCTTGCTCGGATTTGCTAATTATGGATCTAAGAGTCTCAGAGAGCCAGCTGCAATTATTTGCTCTGAGCAACTTTCTTGCAGTAACAATTACAGATAAAAATGAACAGAAGCACACAGCAAATTCAGACTTCAGCAGTGACTACTGTTTTTTAGTTATTCAACATGCACTACCATTCAAAAGCATGGAATTATCATTCAAATGTTTGAAATTCAGGTTTCAGGTTCAAGTCCAATCATTATGCAGATAACTGTATAAAAGTATTCTAAACTACGAATAACATTCTGAATAATTAGCAGGAAGCCAAGTGAAATTAGATACATCCAGCATGATGAACAAAGCTGTATAGTGTATATGGGGGGTCATCAAATCTGGACCTTTAATCCAGTTTGTGGTCCTGGATTTTGCTCTCACTGGTAGGTAGGATGCTAGGTGGCCAATCAGTTACATCAACAAGTCATTTTCACTACTAGTGATTACAAAATGCAGGACTGGAAACTGGATTCAAGGTCTGAAGACCTCTGGTATATATGTATGGTTCTAAAATGTCTGCGAACACTGTATATGAGCAAGAATGAAGTTATGATAAATGAATGAATATCCGGAATGTCTTATTTGAGTTGTGATAAAGAGGCAGATAAACTGAAAGAAAAAAATACTATAAATAATTTAAACTTTTTATGCAATAACTTGTTGTTCCCAACTTAAAATATCGAATTAAATATCTAAAAATAATTTTGGTATCTTGTTCATGAAACTTAAATCTATGCTGTAAAGCTTATTGTATATAAAATAGCAAATATTCATATGACAAGTTTTGTCCATTTTTACAGATAACAATAGCTTAAACCAACCAATTAGCATGACGCAGCTTGCATGTGTATATCATTACACGTTTGTCTCATAGCATAATGCTGTTATCTTAAATAGACTTACTTATTTTATGACAAACTTCTCTATAAAAATGGAAAAAAGTATTTTGCATAGCTAAAAATAGTCGCAGCAGCCATCTAGAAGCTTAAAATTTGTTTGTACCTTCCCCCATGTTCACAAATAACAGTATGTCACACAGAGTCTGAATCCATATAAGCAAGTCTCTTTCTGATTACTTAACAACCTGACATGGTTTTAGGCAAGAATGTGATGATTTAGGTATGCGGTTTGCATGATGCTAACTGGTGAAATAAATGCTTCAGTTACTTGTTAGCTACCTCCAATCCACAGAAAGCAAGCATCTGAACGTCAGATACCAAACATTCACTACTGACAGTCTCTAGGCTAACTGTACAAATGAGATTTTTCCCCAAACTACTGCTTTCAAGCTCATGTCATGTGTTCTAATTTGCCTCCACTGTTTCAGTAACAGAGAGCTCTCTGACAGAGGGGTGAACGTGGGGCACCTGGTGAGAAGGCAGTAAATGGAGGGAGACTTCTTTTAGTGCCTCACAGTCTCTGAGGAACTCCCTCAAGGATCAAACAACTTTTACTAAAGCCTGGTATTATTCACTAATCATCTCTTCCTCTTTTTCTTCTCTTCCCTGTCTCTCATTTCCCTTGATTAAATGCCCCCCGCTTAGTCACTCCAACCAAAATCCACAATGAGATTCTTCCGCAGCTTCCTGAACAGCTCTCCCAGATCCCGTCAGTGCATGCTGTCCTCATTTTCATCCTTTCGCCACATCGCAGCAGACGTCAAGTGGTTTCTTTCACTCATCATTTGTGCGGGTCTAAAGCAACGTCACTAAGCTGACTCACTCAGACATGAGGGTAGAAAAAAGGAGACGGAGGAAGAAAAAGACAAATAAAAGAGCAAGCAGAGAGATGAAGGGTGGAGTTAAAGACAGCAGCTTCAGAAATAGAAGACTGCACTGATGACAAAGTATTTCCTGGGCAGCAGGGCTATAAAAAGTCAACATTTGTGAGCTCTGCAGAACAACATACTGAAAGGATACTTGTGGTCAAAAGTGTACCACAGTCTAAACAGCCAAGCGCTTTCTTGCTTGGTCTTACTCTGGCCCTCCTGCTGAATTCCATCCTAGAGAAAAGACAGAAAACAGCACAAGAATAACAGCAGAATCTCTAAGCATGGTAAATCATATTTTTGTCCAGTTTTCCATTCAGAGCAGACAAAGCAAAAAGTGTACTTTTTCAGTTTTGCCATGAAGCTGTGAGTAGCTTACAAGTATGGGAAGACTGTATCCCATCAATTAGCAATTGGCAAGCCACAGTACATATAAAATTCAGGCCTCAAAATAGCTACTATTACTGTTTTTAGCTACAAGATGCATTTTTGTGATTTGAGGCATTTTTGAGGCATTTTTGTGATTATTTATTTTATTTCTTTAAGTTTGCACAGTGCTAATTGGTGGACAAAAAGCTGTGTCTACCTGTTAGCTAGATTCACCTCTAATCTCTAGTGCAAAACTAAATAAGCAAACTTCAGACATCATACATTCCTTTGCTGACCTGGACCACAATGGGGTGAAGGGGGACTTGTGTCTTGATTTTCACACTGTTGCTTTCAAAGAATTCTAATTCAAAGGAACTTTTCTTTCAGTTGTCAGCCAATACAGTAGTGTATAAGTTTGGACAGCACATACTCTTTAACTTCTGTCATGGGCACAGTGTTCAGACATCTCTCTAAATAAAACATTTCTGCCTTAAATTTTCTTGTTCACTTACCTGTCACTGACCACTGAAAATAGGGGTTTACAGGACATTAAGAATTCATTCACAGCTACCTATTATGCAAATCTTTAAGAAAATCATACTAGTTTTTTTACAAGTAGGTCTAGGAGTCCTAGCTCCTTCCAACCCTTAGTTTAGTCTCAGTTTTTGGTTTTCTTTTTAAGTGAAATGTAATGAGACACATAAGATTTACTGAGAGTATTTAAGGTAAACTACTCTGACCCAGTACCGTTATTTAAACTGTGTCAGAGTAAGAATGCAACAATCTCTTCTCAAGGTGGGTAGATGTGGCCTGAGTTTTTGGACTCATGGGAAAGATCTGTTGTACACTAAAAGGAAGCAAAACCTTTACACATCAAAGGGCTTTGTGGTTAGTTTCAGCCTTCTGTTTCTCTAGCAAGCTCTGCTTATCTAATCTTTTAGAAGCAAAATTTCTTGTGGGGCCAAACTGAAACAGTACTAAATAAAGGATCTAACTAGAACACCTAACCAGAGATGTGGAGCAAGATGGTCTTGCCATGCATAAACACACGGCTCACTCTGATGCACAGGAAAGGCCAGAAGCTCGTTATACAGCTAAATGTAGGCTAACAACAGTCTCTATTTTTGTTTCTGGAAAAGTAAATACATCTTGTATATATTTGGAACTGAACTCACTCCTTGAAGGACCTGGAAGCTATCTCCACATGGCTGAAGGTCCTGATCAGGGTCCACTCCAACTCTGAAACAGATAAAAACTATAGCTCAGGTGTGTTGTGTGTATTTATGACTTGGACCGTGGTTGTGTGATTCACAGTGCATTGCAGAGCTTCCATCCAATGAGAAATGAGTGTCAGTTTACCAGGCCTGACATGCAGACAGCAGTGAAAAGGAAACAGTGACCTCTGCAGAAAGTGCACAGTGGGACAAAGCACTGATCATGAAGGTTGAGGGCTGCTGAAAGAGACACATCCAGGCCTTGATTCTATCTATTCCTGAGCTACTCTTCGAATATTCTATAATACATGACAGATAGGTCACTAACTGGGTTTCCGCCCACATATTTTAAGCGTATTTTGATGTAAACAGCAAATACTGTAGAAAAAAAAAATAAAAAATCAAATTTCAAATTTGCATAGACGTTTCTACACTCACTATAGATGGATACATTTTTCCGAATTTCAATTACTATGGAAACGTATTTGTCAAATAAATAACATAAATGTGAATAGTATAAAGTCATGTAACTATTCAGATGATTCTGATATGCCTGGCAGAAAGCAGCAGGTGCCAGCGGACTGATGAAGAAATTAAAAGGTGCCTTTATCTTATCAAAGCAGAAAACAGAGATATAATGTGAAGGCAGCTGATGGTGAACCATTTTATTACGTCTTTGTGCTCTTATGATTTGAAATATAGCCATAATTAAACATTAAACAAGCACAGAGAAGTTGCCATTACTAAATATTTCTCTGTAAACTCTCTCTATATTTTGTGTTTTTATGAACACAGAGAGCTGTACTCTCCTGTACAGAGCTAAAGGAAACTCAGCCTTTTTTTTTTACATAAGTTTTACACCACGTCAATTAATAGCTTGAATTTAATTTGACAGCTAAATGGAAACCTTTATACCATCATCGCAAAGTAACAACAGGACTAGTAGTGGGCAATATGGCAATGTTATCATGCTAAATTACGTCACGATACATTTTTCGATGTCATGGGTATTGCCTGCACTCCTTATAAAAAGGCTGTAAACAAAAACCACTCTACAATAACTGTACAAACTAAACTGAAACAAGTAACTGATTATAATAAGATCTAGTTTTATTAATGTAACAGTCAAGGGTGGAAAATACTTGAGTACTGGAACATTTGTACTTGAGCACTTTTTCAAGAGAATTTTTTTTTTTTTACTTCTTACATTTTTATTTAGACCTTCAAAGTACAATTTTCAAAGCACAGGAGGGCAGCACATTTTGCCTCTTTTTTCTCCTATCGAGATCCTATACATCTGAATTTACATACATAAGCACAGATAATGCAACAGCGCAAACCACACTGGCGTTATTCCATTTTGCTGGGAGGTTGCCAGGGAGGTTTAACTCATGCTTCAAATGAAAATTAAATTGCAGCAGCCCCTCGATAACCTCCCGCTGTCTAGCCAGTCACTACTGAACAGTGGAAAGGCAGGACTTTTGGGGTTAGCCTTAGCCAAACATGGACACTAGACTGTTGGTGCCTGGATGAGAAGCCGCCTGACTTGGTCAATGTCGCAGGTTCTCGGCCTTGTCCGCACAACAAGTCATGAACCAGCTGATACTGACAGTCTGAAGGACTCATGTGTGTACAGGACACACATATGAGACAGATGACTTGAGAAATACGTCAACAGAAATAAAAACTTGGATTGATATATTTCTGATTTAGTTTGGTTGTTCAAATGGTTTTATTAAAACATGAGAGGTCCCAAAATAATCAGTTACTGTTAACCTAAAAAAAAAGTTTTAATTAACTTTAACCATTTACAAAAAAGATATACCAAAACAGCCTGAAATCATCCAAATAATTGACTTAATAAATCTTGTTACATTAACGCTTTTGCCTTATTCTATGTGGTTATACTGGATATTTTGGAATTATGAGGTTATGTATTTATTATGTCCTCCTTTAACTGCTGTTCATTACACAGAAGAAATTTAGGCAGCATATAGATCAGTACATGATCTACATAGACAGGCATGCTTGGATAGTCCATACTACCTCTTTCTCACTGTGCAACTTGTGGGCTCCATGTACTCCTATCTATCTAAAGTACTGAATGTTCCAGTGTGTAGACACTCTGTCTGTACCCCTATCAGTCTAACACTCCTGTGCTGCATTTCAGCCTGTGCAGCCAAGAATTCTGCACTCTCATACACATTTGAGACTCCCTGCCCACATTTTGAGCTGTGTGTGCGTGCGCGCGCGCTCTCGCGCTCTCGCTCTCTCGCTCTCTCTCTCTCATGTTCATGTGCCTGCCATTATTAATGTCAATTAACAGTTTGCACATTCCAGCAGAGTCATGGCACTCTAAGGCTGATGCCAGTGATCCAAGAGCCCACGTGAACGGCTGTCTGCTTTATTAGAGCGCTCACATAACACTCCATGGGAACATCAGAGATTAGTCAGCACACTCACATGGGGGGGCGCGTAGAAGCAAAACAGGGAAGAGAAATATAATCAGCTTAAGCAAATAAACTCTCACAATCATGTCTATAAGCCAGGAACTAACAGAACATAATTTTCAACTGCAGCAGAGAAAATCTCTACTTGACTTGCCTCTTCTCCGATTTGGCATTTGTTTGATTGCTGAAATATGACCCATATGTCAGTGGCCTTTGGAGCTGTGACAAAACACATCGCTTATTTTGCTGAAGTAACAAAATGCAAAGGTCATTTGAGTTTCCACCCACTGATCCTTCCCAGGCATTTCATTATAGTTTTTCCTTCATTCTCCAGTAGTACTCCAAGCAGTGGCCTGTAGGAGTAGTGTACTTACATTTTAAAAGGACAGACAACACATTCAGTGGGGTCCAAAAGTCTGAGACAACTACTGAAAATGCTTACATTTTGTATTGCTTTCTAATTTGAGAGAAAGTAGAATTTCTAATGAAAACCTATCACCATAGAACTTTGAATGAAAAGCAGAATCTTTGAAATTTTAACATAATTCCAGAATGTCTTTTGTATTTAGTATGTCCCTCTTATACTTAAATGACAGCATGCACTCAAGATGGCATGTACTCTACAAGTGTGTGCAAAAGCCTCTGATGAGTGTAACAAATGCTCCATAGAATGCTCGTCTGAACAGAAGATTCAGCGGAAGAGATAAGACTAAAAAAATAAAATTAAAAAAGAAAATGATCTGACCTTTTTGTACACAGATCTCAATATGATCAGGTTTGCTTAAATTTGAAATAAAGCAACATACTGAATATTTCTTTTTCATTTTACTTGTCATAAGTTTTCTTTGTTTCAAAACGTTGCAAATTCTAAAGTGTTCTCGTGTTTGTTTACAAATTTAAAAGAAAAAAATCCCAGACTTTCAATGTGGTCTCAGACTTCTCAGACTTTGGACCCCACAGTATATATTTCACTTTGAATGGGGTCCTGTTCCTTCTTAGTTTTTTCTTTCCATGGATGAATAGAATAAATAATTGTGCTTTTTCACAGATTTTAGGCTGTGATTTTTTGTCATTTTTTCTGGTGCATTTTTGTCCTTCCAACTTGGCAAAAAACCACAGAAACTAGAGTATCACGACACATACCGTGTATTGTGATAAGGCCTTGAAGTACCGTGATATCTTTTTTTTGCTGTATCGCTATGTGTGAGCAATATAATGACATCTATCATTAATGTGATAAATTACATCACAGTATGCTCTTCTGAGTATATTGTGGAGAACAATAGTGCTTAAAGAACAATGACCAAGTGAAATCTTATTTCACTTTAATGTTAATTAAAAGAAGAGCATAATCAGTCCTGTTAAACTGGATTTACTGTAGTGCAGTATGCTAAATAAAATTAATTATACTTATAGTTTAGTTAAATTGTGTCACTACTGGTCCTTCTTGTCTGTTCCAACTTATGAAACCTCAGAATAACTAACACATAGCCTGTATCATTAGTGGGTAAAAGAGAAAGTCTTACAGCTGTCTGGATAACTTAATTATTAAGGAAGGACTGTGGATATCTGTGTGTTCGAGATTTGATAGCTATCTACATGAAAGGCCAAAGTACAAAAAAACAGTGACTTATAATTTGTCAGAGGCTTCATGAATGATTAAACTATTACTGAGTGCTTCATGGTCCTTGTCCTCACAGTGTGCATAGTGCAGATGAATTTAAATAGGGAAAGTAAAGCTAACAGTCCGGCCATTGACGCACGCCTGTGGTGGGCTGAGCTTCTAACGAGCTGCTGTCATTTCTGCCACGTCTGGAGGAGAGCTAGTGGAATCTGAAGAACAAAAGGACTCCAGCTGAGGGGCATGACTGCAGAGCAGCAACTGTCCAAATAAACCCCTCAGCTCAGAGGTCAGAGAGGGCTGGCTCTAGCAGCAGACTGCCACACTTCCACACAGGAAGAGAGACATTAGCCTGCATAATTTTCCCTGTATCTACATACCTCTCCTCCTGTGGCTGCTTCATGTGAACAAAGATAAAAGCAAAACTCTCACTGTAGCATTAACAATAAAAAAGATTCTGTCATTCTGGAAATAGTCACTTAATTTCTCTCACTCAGATTTGTGTCTTATTCTCTAAACTTGCCTCAGTGCGGTGTCAAGACAGCTAGAATTGCTGGTGGTTTAGAATTTTTGTATTATGGTCTGTAATATGGTAAAACATTTAATAAACAAATCAGTCCAAGTAGTCATAATAAACCATCAAAGAGGAGTTAACCATTTAAAAAACATATTTTTGGTACAGAGCATCTTTTAAGGTGAAATCAAGTTTGTTTGTTTTTTTTTGAGGAAAATGATATAACGCATAAATAAAGTGATGATATTTCACTTCCTCATGTGACATCAGCACTAAGTTCTTTCAGTAGTTTAAACCACCTTTGAGTGGTTTTACATTATTTATTCTTAAACATTCAATAAAAATTTAATATTCATTAAGTAGGCAAATCCTGATTCTCATACCAAGAAACACATTTAGATGAACATGAACCTGAGTGCTGCAAAATATACCCAGAAAAG